ACAACACAATTATTCCAAACATAGTATTAGAGCTTTAAGATTAAAAATCTTAAACTCTTTTATAAACTATATTCAGCCTTCATTTTGAAAAAAAATAAAACCCTAAAAAGGGACAAGCCTTCATAACCGGCTAGTACACCATCCACAACCAGCCTTCATAGCCAGAAAGAAGCAGAAAAATTGCTTGTATGACCAATTCCTTACAACAATTTTTAAACAAATTCTGTATGGCCAGGTAGCAGAAAAAATGTTACTGCAAATTGGTCTCCATACACCATTACAAGAACAGGTACCATCAAAATTTAGTGTGTCAGTCACTAAATTAACCAGGAACATGAACTGCAAAATAATATTTTTTTCCTTCTCATTATGATTTTCAAGACCACCAAGCTCAGAAAAGATGATTGAACATGATGAAGCCAAGAACGGATTATACTATTTGGATGCACTTGAGCTACCTCTCTATTGCTACTACAGACTCTATCACCAAGCTCTGGTTCCATCACAAACGACTTAGTCGTCCTTCTTTTTCCATTTTGAACGTTATGTTTACTTTTTTATTTAAAAACTGTGTTGATAGACATTTACATTGCGATGTATACGAATTTACTTAATATAAGTGTGTAACATTTCCCAGTAGTAACAAAAGAAGTGAGTTTCCTTTTTCGTTCAATATTTAGGGACCTATCCAATTTCCTAATGCATTTGGAACTTGATAGTTTATATTTTATTCATTGATGATTGCACAAGAGTCATGTGGCTCTTTTTACTTAAGGAAAAATCTAATGTGAATCACATAATGTTTCAATTTTGCAAAACGAACAAAATCTAGTTTAAAACCCACATAAAAAGGTTTTATACTGACAATGTAAAAAGACTTTTTTAATCATGCACTGTCTTCTTTTTCTAGCTAAGAAGGAATTATTCATGAATTGTTATGTATCCATACTCCACAACAAAATAGGGTGGCAGAATAAAAAAAATAGTCACCTTCTTGTTACTACCCGAACCTTCTTATTCCAAAAGCCATATTCCTAAACAGTATTGGGGGGAAGCAATCCTTACTCCTACGTACATTATCAATCGATTACCCTCTATCGTCCTTTATTTAAAAGCCCTTTGAGAGCCCTTTCCAAATTTTACCCAGAAGTCAGTGTTACAAATCATCTATTCCTTCAAATATTTAGATGTATCGCATTTGTTTATATTTACACCCACCAGAGCGAAAAACTTGATCTGAGTATTAAAATGTGTGATTGTGATTGTGGGGTATTTCTCTTCTCAAAAAGGATACAAGTGCAATCAATTGACTATACAAAAATTTTAAATTTCTGCGGATGTTACATTTCTTGAGACAAAATCCTTTTTTGTGCAATCTTATTTTCATTAAGATCCAATACTGAAAGATAAAGGTACAGATCTTTTAGTGGATCTCTACTTTCTATAATTATCACCCATACTAGCTTTACTACCTATGCTGTCAAAAGAAGACCCTTAGAGTCATCCTACCCAAGAGACCTTACATGACTCAAAATTTATTCAGGTGTATTTAAGGAGGAAGAATTCAAGTCTTGAGCTGAGGTAGGGTCAAGTATCAAAAATAAATGTGTAACGTGTTGGTTACCCAAAACTTAAATGATTGGGAATTGGATGAGTATGGGCAGCTTTTAAACCTGATGGCTGGTATTATTATTCTGGACTAACCTGACACTTTGATTTGGAAGGGGCAAAAAAATGGCATTTTCAGTATCCAATCTTTCTAGAACATTCTCTCCAACTCTAGTAACCGGTGCAGCACTGTCAATTATTCTTTCTCCTTCAAATCTATCTGGAAAACCGACGCTCCTCCCAGAATTGCTTTTTTTGCTTGGGAAGCCGGTAAGAGAAGATTATGACTTTAGATAATTTGATGAAACGTGGAAAAGTTATGGTTAACAGGTGTTTCGTTTGCAAGTATGATGCCGAGAGCTACAATCACATTCTTTTATGGTGTCCTTTTGTTTCTAAACTTTGGGTCATGGTCTTTAATTTAATTGGTATTAACTGGGTAAAGACTAGATCCGTTCATGATGAGCTCTTGGCTTGGGATGGCTTAAACTCAAGCAATCACGTCAATCGTCTAATTTCCCTCACTATATTGTGAATTATTTGGAAAGAAAGAAACAATAGGGCTTTCGAAGATAACGAAGATATTTTTCTAAATATCAAGGATAGATGGTTACATTGTTTTAAATCCATTCTTCTGGATCGTAATTTATTATTTTTTGATGATATTGGAGTTATTGTCGACACTCTCTTAGATATGTAATACTTTGTACATGGACGGTACCCCTTTGGTGCCCTTTTTTAATATATCTACTAATTTCTATTTAAAAAAAAGTATCAAAAATAAATTATGGAACTGAGATAAGTCCCGAAAATCCTACTCAACCTAATATTGATGTGCCCATTGCGATCCATAAAGGAACTAGGGCATGCACCAAACATCTATTATATCCAATTTCACAATGTATCACTTGATAAATGCTCACAATTTTACAAAAATTTTCTCATGAGTTTTAATACTGAATCTATTTATAACATGGTACTTGAGGCATTTTCCTATAAGAAATGGAAAAATTCCATGATTGTTGAAATGCAAGAACTATAAAAGAACCATATATGAAACATAGTGGACTTGCCCAAAGGAAAGAAGCCTATGGGATGTAAGTGGGGGTTCACCATAAAATAGATGATAGATAGAACAATTGAAAGATACAAAGTAAGATTAGTAGCCAAAGACTATATCCAAACCTATGGGATAGATTATCAAGAGAAATTTATGCTAGTTGCAAAAATGAATATACTGCGAATTTTATTATCTCTAGCTCTCCACTTCAACTGACAATTACAACAATTTGATATTAAAAATGCATTCTTACATTGATTTGCCAACAAAACCGGTACAAAGTGTGTAAAGTGAAGAAGGTACTTTATAGGCTCAAGTAGTCACCTAGACTGTGGGTTGGTAGATTTGTTAAAACGATGTTAGGCATGGGATACAAGCAAAGTCAGGAAGATCACATCCTATTTATCAAACAATTGGATTTAGATGGAGTTATTGCCCTCCTACCATATGTTGATGATATATTGTGACTGAAGTGAATTAGAAAACTTAGGCTCAAGTGTTGCTTGACCAAGGAGTTTGAAAATCAAGGAATTGGAAAGCTAAAATACTTTTAGAGGATCGAAGTAGCTCATTCAAAATAAAAAATTTTCATCTCATAGTAGAAATACATAAATTATCTGTTTAAATATACAAGTAAATTAGTATGTAAACCAGCTAATACAACTATTGATCACAGTCATAAGTTGGGACCAACTGAAGATGATACAAAAATAGATAAAGGAATGTACCAGAGATTAGTTAGTAGGTTGATTTACCCATCACACACAAAACCTGGTATTGCCTATGTAGTGAGTGTGATAAGCTAGTTCATGCACAACTTTAAAGAGGTATTTTACAAATAGCCTAGAGAGGACTACAGTAGGGAAATGCATGACGTTTAAAAGAATGACAAATTGATCCTTGAAACTTACATTAATATAGACTATGCAGTATCAATGGTGGACGGAAAATCTACTACAAGTTATTGTACCTTCTCTGAGGGTAACTTCGTCTCTTGGACGAGTCAAAAACAAAATAGAGTTGCAAGAATCAAGCAAAGTCAGAATTTCGAGCAATGACATAAATGGTATGTGAATTATTATGGTTGAATAGACTCCTGAAATACATAAGAGTTAAGTGAGGTGGCCTACTGCACCTTTACTTTAACAATAAATCAGCAATAAACATTGCAGACAATCTTGTACAAGTGTAATAGGACAAAACACATTAAAATCGATAGATATTTTATCAAAGAGAAGTTAGATAATGACTTGATATATACTCAATATGTGCCCAAGTTACAACTTGCAAACATGTTGATTAAAGACTTGAGTAGTCTACCATTCCAGGCTATCATTACTAAGCTAAGGACCGGTAGCATCTATTTCCCAGCTTGAGGGGGAGTGCTAAATAATATATCTTATGCATAAATAGGCTAAATTAGGTTAAAGGATATTAAAGTAAAATAAACTATTTGTAATTAATTGTAACTTCCATTTTTCTTATCCCTGGAACTTATATGTATAAGGATATATTGTTTAATGAGAATAAAACACAATATTTCTAATGCATACATTTTAAAATCTACAAGTTTTGATGAGATTTAGAATGTGTTACCTTAATTCCAGTTGAAATTCTCCAGAAAATCATTTTTTATCATTTTGAAAAGAATTTGCATCATCTTACAACAAAAATAAGTACAAATTCCAAATAAATTGAACAAATAAAAGTAGCTGCTCCAGTGAAAATTCGACCAAGAGACATCTATTTAATTAAATTTGGATCCAAACAAAATACATGAATTGTGCTGAATTGTGCTGAAAGATAGCCCACACACGCACATATGACCTGACTTTCTTCTAGTGAAGGGGGAAAAAAAAGAGAGTGGCAGTAAAAAACTCACCCAGTTGCCACACAAATTGGTATTCCTTTTGCATGGAGATGTCTGATCAAACGGCTAGCCCCTACAGTAGAAAACCAACCAGAGTTTGTCACTCACAACTTCAAATCAAAATAAAGATTATCAAAAGATAATAATCATTTTTATATATAGTGGCAACTAACTTTGCCATGGTTTATATATTTCTTGAGTTAAACACCTATCATTTTGTTGCCAACTCTAAAATTCATGTCAAAACTGATGTTATTGTTTCCAGCCATTTGGGTACCCTCTTCAGTTTGTCCCCCCACTGATGAGCCGGTCTAAAAAACATCTGGAGGTTATGCTATGAGCCAACCTGAATCAGAAAGTAGGCAACCTGGAGGTTATGCTATTAGCTTGAAGTTTTTGTTGTTTTAAAAAGTTTCTGCACCTATCTGTCTCCATTATTTCCTTTTCTTTTTAACTAAAACATAACAGCTGCTTTTTTTTACAGTCAACAAATTTGGGTCATTGCTCACTTTCTCAAGTTTCTTGTAAGCACAGAGCGCCTTCAGCATCATCTATAGAATACATGAATGAGGTTGTTATGCATTCGAAAATTAAATGCAAGATGTTAAAACTTACAAAAATAGATAACTAGGCAGGTTAGTTGAATTGTCGATTTATTGCTCTATCATATGTATTATATCATTAGTGGATGATAATAATGATAAGACCACTTACTAAGAGTAATAGATTTCATTTCTCTAGCTATGACCATTGAGTAATATATTTTTCAACTGTTCCTCAAAATCGACTCCAAAATATTTAAGTAAAGATGGTTAGGTCCTCAACTGCCCTCGCCCATTTCCATTAGAGCATGTATTATATCATCATCTTCTAAAAATCAAATGAGACAGTTTTAATAAGAGAATGGCTGCAAAAGAAAATCAATATCTAAGTGAATCATACCTGGCATTAGCTCACTTGTAGGAAACAGGGTTTTCAGCATATCCTCCCTCTCTAGAAGGAATTCCTCTGCTGAAAGAGAGTCACTGATTCCACTCTCTTCAACGAAGACCCTAGCAGCCTCTATTGCTTTTTTTCCCATCATTTTTGCTTTTAGTGACCAGTCAAAAGTTTTATTATATCTAGCGAGTATGATTTCCTGGACTTCAGTATAGAATTTCTCTGTGTCTGAAAACAATAACATAAATCCTGTAACATGCATCGCTCCTGCCCCAAACCTCATATATACATGAATGAATCTTATGAAATGTTAAACAAATTACTCAACACAGCATTAAAGTTCTATTATAAGATGTATGGGAACACCTGGGGGTCTTAGTTATATACATGGAATAAAACTGAAAGTGAAAGAAGAGTTCTGGAATTAGACATTGAAATTTTAAAGAAGAAACTGAGACCTTAACCACTGTGCTTCATTAATAACAATAGAAAATATTCTATATAAAAGAAAAATATAGTGAATTTCTTATTCAATGGAAGTTCAAGAAACAATAAAGAGAATGTGATCATCATCTTAGTGACAGTAACTCTGCTTCCTATCTTACTGGATTTTGATACTAATATAATTTGGGGCCACTCTACTTAACCCAGGCACCAGAGCCCTAACAGAATCTTTGGATAATGACAATGATTTAAAATGTAGGATCAGGCTAGCAGTCAAACAGAACATATTCTGCCTCAAAAGAAAGAAAAAGCAGTGATTTCTTTACTAAATAGAAAATCCAAGCAATAATAAAGAGAATGTGATCATCAACTTAATGATAGTCATCCTTGCTTCGTATCTTATTGGATTGTGATACAGAATTTGGAGCCAGTCGACTTAACCCAAGCACCGGACCCTTATTAAAAATTTTAGAATAATGGCAATAATTCAAAATGTAGGATCAGCTAGCGATTAACCTGAACTTCAAGTCCAAAACCGCACAACAAGTGTTACACGTGATCTGTCATATTTCCATATTCACTTGAAAAAGAAAAAAGGACCGGTCGCAGTTGCTGCCAATTGCAAGTTGAGCTCACAGGAATGTAATCTTTATACATTTTGCTAGCTATTCACTCTCTTCACTTTTTGTTGTCGATAAATTTTGACACAAACGAATGACTTACAACTCTATATATGTACCGCCACTGTTACTTAAATTCCAGTAAAATCAAAGGGATTAATAACAATAAACAACTTACAGTTCCATGTTTCTCTTATTGCGAGTAATTCTGCTCGGAATCAAATTGCACCATCATCATTGAAAGAAACCGTCTACTAAAATTTGAACTCATGGAAATGACAATTCTAGGTGTCAGTCTGAATGCTTTAATTTCATTTTGAACTTTTCGTGCTCTACATTGTCAAGAACTTAACTAAAGCTGCGCGTAATTTCTAGTACACTTGAATTTTCCTCTAGGTTTAGAATAATAGTATAAAATCTGCAAATGAGGAAGAAAGTAAAAAGGAATTGTAGAATAAAGGATTCGAGGTGTTCGAAGAAATTACCGAGCAAGAGGCCGTCCATGTCGAAGATGACGTGAGTTATAGGTCCTTTAGCTGGAGCAGCTGCGACTGAATTCGCCATTGATGAAGGATTCCGTGTCGAGAGGATTGTTCTGCAGATTTTGTGTACAGAAAGTAATAACGAAGAACAAGTTGCTGAAGCTGTATGCTGCTGAAAAAGGAAGCCGGATCGGATTCCACGCATTTGAAACTTTTAGGTGTTGACCTGGATGTTAAAAGAATTTAAAGTTATGTACGGTTGAGATTGCGGGCAAATTTTTTTTCTTTTCTTTAAATACCTCTGTAAATATTTTATGCAATTTATTATTATTATTATTATCAGTTTAAAAACTTAAAACCTAAAATTTTTTCACGATTTCCTCTTAATTTCTCATCTTCCCCCAAGTTCTTACCTAAAAGAAACATTTTCTCTTTTCTGAACAAAATCCTGTATGATATACATCTTCTATTTAATCATTCTTTTGTTAGAATTTATTTCTAAATATAATCGTTTATGATATAGAAGTGATCATCCATAAATTACCAATTTTTGTTTGCTAAACATAGCATATATACTTCATTTAATTGATCCAATCAAATTAACTATAAACCATTTTAATCAATAATATTAATCTGAATATCTCTCCAAAAAGAACATCCAATTTCCACTTCATTGCGCTGCAGGCTATACAGATTATTGACAATTCAATCACTTTTTTTTTCCAGTTAAAATCGAGAATATCTCGACCAACGGAAAGAATATGAATAAAATCTCATCCGATCTAATATATCTTACAAGTCAAACCAAGATGCATCGATCAGAAATGTATTTTTTCTATTTAGAACTTCAAAAGTATACCTTTTAGAGCACAATTAGGCGTCAAATGGAAAAATAATAATAATGATGATAAAAAGCTTCTTGTTGGCATCTGTCATCACTGTTTAACCAGAAACCTTTGACCCAGGTTCTTCCTAACACAGCAAATTTCTGGTCCATCCTTTAGCCTTATGGCCGAGCTAGAAGATAAACTTTGCCAGCAACAAAACACCTCAATGCAATTTAATTGCAGGGAATTTTATGCTCTGGTTTAATTCTTGCTATAATATAGCGCCCCAACGAAAACAATCCAGTCTTCGTGACACTGGTTGATCTCCTGGCAACAATTTCTGTTGTAGTTGTAGCATTCTTCGACAAGAGATTGCTCGAACTCCAGGCAAGCCAATCCTCGCAATTCCCAACTTGCAGTAACATTGAGGGATTCTTTGCAATATCATACCTGTGTTGCTTCTCCAAGGCGTGCTCGAATGGACTCAATATTTGACATTTTATTGATACTGCAAGAAATAAGTCATTCAAAATCTCAGAGGAAAAGGTTTATATGGTTTTTTAATGTTATAATAAAGATGGTGGAAATCTAGTATACATATTTGTAGAAGCATTCTAATAAGTATGAACTACAACCGAGGCTCACCATATGAGCAAATCGCCACTAGATGCCAACTTTTCTGAAATCCATTCAGGAAAAAGTTTTACCAGCAAAGTCAGCTGCTCTTCAACCTCTCCTGCGAATGCAAATACAAAGAAATTAGCTTATTACGATCAAAGTATTACAATGAGAATGAGAGCGAGAGGAGATATTGAGGCTTACTTCGATCAACAATATGACAATCGCCAGCAATTATCTTGTGTATGAGCTCCTCTTTCGTGAGTTTTAAATACCCTCGTGATTGGTACAAAAATTGAATCGCATTAAATAGCTTAGGAAGGCAGGCAGTGATCCTCTTCGTTTGTGAGATTGCAGGATCCCGCTCCTCCATCACCTTCTTCTCTTTCTCTCTTATCTGATTAGAGAAAAAAAAACAAGAGATTATTAGCTCTTCATATCTAACATAAGAGAAGCTTTAGAAGCATCAAATGCATAAATTTTAGTTAATACTGTGGGTACATGACTGGTGGCTTGCTCTCTCAACAAGTGAGTACTAAGCTGCCATGCATTGTGTGGATTGAGTCATGAAATTATGAACTAAAACAAATGCGAGTACCAAAAACTCAGGATGGGCTTACCAATTGCAGAAGACTCTCAGGAAGAACATTAGGAATATCATCATCAGATAGTGCACCTTCCGTCGTATTTTGTTGATCATCAGCCCTCCCATTTACTACGACATCCTCAACATTCTCATTATCTGCAGGACTCTCAAATTTCAGTGACCTGGCACGAGATATTCGAACTAACTTGTTTGGTTTGCTGGTTGAAACATCATCTGGGCTCATACAACATCTCTTTGGCAGCTGCAATGCTGGTGTGGCAGCCATCAACCTTGCTGGAGTTGAAGCAAGTTTTGCAGGAGTAGACTGGACAGCAGCAATTTTTCTGGGACAACTATCCATGTTTTCCATGGTTTCAATCTCTTTTGAAGTGCAATTAAATAAAGATTTCCTGGTGCTGGTTGGCTTTAAGGACAATTTGATCGGGGACAAAGTAGAAACAGAAGAAGCTTCCTCATTGGACAAAATATTGTTATGGCATGCATCTGGAACTTGAAGATTTGAAGCTTGAAAAGGAACCCTTACTGAATTTTGTTCAGTTCTTTCTGTTTCACTGCTCACAACATTGTCGGAAGAAGATTGAGATGCCGCAACAGGTTGCTGTTCTTTTACCATGTCAATTGATGGCTCTACTATGAACGACAAGGTGGATTGCTCTGGGTGTGTCTCCTCGCAAAAATCATCATCTTCAACACCAAAAGTCGATGACTCACTCTGGGAGGACAAGGAGGAAGCATTCACAAATTTTGCACGTAGACCTCCCCTTGAATGTTTAAATGGTTCCAGGAGGGTTTGCCTGCTCTTTGAAGAGTTAAATGGCTCTGGCAGCATTTCCTCTGGAACTTCATCACCCTAAATGTGGGAAACACCGTTAGCATATTATGACACTTTTTAACTTTTGAAAACTAATATAAACAATATTTCCTACATTGCATAAATATGAGAAAATGGCACCTGGAAGCTTAGTGCTTGACGCACTAGAACAACAAAATATTACCAACATATATATAGCCAAGCATCATGTACTACTACAACTTCTTAAAATTCAACTTCGATAAATCAATTACTCTTCCAATATTAGCATCAATCCTTTTTACTGCTTTTATTTCCTATCAAATCTTACTAACTAGCAATTCAAGGCATACAAAATGTATAAAGAATCATAACTCTCAGTTAAAGCCATAATAAACTAAAGTTACAATCACGAAGTCGGTATAGAGATTTTTAAACCTAAACATGAATATGGGTCGACAATATAGCCTACAAAAAACAAAAGATTTAGCTGTGGCTCTGAATTTTAGCATCAAGAATTGCTGATAAACAATAAGAATTAATGGATTACTGATCAAGAAAATATTAGGGTTCCCTTCAAGACATCCAAAAAAAAGAAGAAAAAAGGTGTGTATACCTTACGATGCTCTTCATGGAAGTCTGCTAGTCGTGCTCGGAATATCTTTCTCAAGCTCAAGTATTTACTTTCTGATTTCAAGTTCTCATCATATTCAATTGCAGCAACATTCAATGTAACATGAAGATCTGGCATCATACAACTGGTCCTCTCATCAAACCTTAGTAGTCTCTTGATCTCTATGGCCTCGGGCAAAATATACTTAAGCTGAGCCAAATGTGCATGAGTAAAACTCCTAAACACATTATAACAGAAATAAGTCATAAATTCACCAGAACTAGAATTTAGCTCCTATAGGGCCACTAATTGATGAATGAGGTTCCCGTTTGGTTGATAAGAAAATTAAAGAAACATGGATGAAGCTCTACTTGTTATAGAATGATTTTCATGTATGCGGTGAAAAACATAAAACAAACACAATATAATAGCATTTTCAAACCAAATTGCATTGGACCAGAGAATACCCATTTCATAAACTCATGAATGTATTTGACCTAAAAACCAAATAGACCATTTAACTCCCAAGTTTTACATCAAATTAGAGAAAATAATCAAAAGCCCCTACTTCTAATTCATTAGGGGCTTGCTTAAATGTTGACATATAAAACAATCATTTTTGTAAGAATCGTAAAGCAAACCACAATCAATAAGAAAATTTCAACTACCACTCAGTTAAACACTGGATTTTGGGAGAAATGTTTGTAAAAGTTGACATGGATCTCCTCAATTTTAATAGCCGGATCGCAGTATCTAGTCCATCAAACAACTCAGCCAGCATCTCATACCTGCAAAACACATGCAATCAACAAACCAACACTAGAATAGAGCAAAATCCAACATTTATTCACTACTCAAAAGACAAAAGTAGAAGAAACCCCAAGAATTTGACCTTTGAGGCAGCTTGATGGAACCTTGGGCCTTGGAGAGCGAGGAATCACGAGACCATGACAAGATCTGCTTCCTGGCTGACTTGATTGGCTCATCCGGGTGCTGAGGCCGGGTTTGATCCGATCTCAGGACTTCTTCCAAAGAAAGAGCAGCTCCACGGTTTTGGGAGCGACGAGTATGATTTTCTGGGGGCTTCTCTGGTGTTTTTGAGGTAAATGGCGAAATAGGGTTTGCGGGCGGAGGCTTTGAGCTTGAGTCCATGTTAAAGAGAACGAGGTAGACAAGAAGATTAGTGAGTTTTGACAGGAAATGGAAGAGCTGATTAGGGTTTCGGTTCAGAAACAATAGCAAGCAGAGTACAGTAAAAGTATATCAGGCATTTAGGGGTTTTTGAATGAGAGAACTCGGCTGCAGCTTGAGGGCATAGTTTCCTTTTCGGATTTCCCGCCAAATTGAGCCGTTGCTATCCCTTTAGCTTGGTCTTGTAAGGCGTGACACCCGGACTATTAAAATACAAAAAATTAAAACATGGCCACTTGGCATGTATCACTTGTTGTTTTATTATTATTATTGTATTATTACATTTGAATTTTATTTCATATATTTATAACTAGTTTTAGGACCTTTATTTTATTTTTTAATAACATAAAAATAATAGTTAAATATACATAATGTAATGATCAATTGATTATTATATAATAATATGAACATATTAACTAATTTCATTTGTGAAATTCAAAAAATAATTAAGATTTTTAATTAAAACAAATAAATTTCTGCATAACAAAAAATATAAATGGTGTTGTTTGAGATTATCATCCAACGGGCTTGCATGCACCACCCATAATTAATAAAAAATTATCTAAAATTAAGCTTATTATTTGATGAATGAATTATGAATTAAAGTTAATTTTTAATTCAAAAAATTTAAATTTAGTTATTACTGTACTAATAAGTCTAACATAATTACCATTTTATGTTTTATTCTAAAAAATTATTACCATTTTGATGAAATAAATGCGGATAAATAAATAAATTTTCTTAATTAATATATTCATAATAAATTAATATTTGATTTTGCTTTCCAAAAAAAGACATATTTTCCTGACTCGTCCTTTTTTTATATAGCACTAATTAACGGCATATGACGTTAGGCAATCGGTTTGATTATTAATCGGTGCCACGTCAAATTAGTACCTGCACATGGCATTTCTAATCTTATCCCTTTGTTTGGATCATGGTGAGTGGTACAAATTTAATGTATAGTATTTCAAGAGCGTAAGAAAATCGTGTTTATTTCAACTTCTAATGATAACAAATGGTATTTGAATGATAAATTTTTGGATGAATTTTTAAACCACCGAATTGGTGGTATCTGACCGGCATAATATTTATTTTCCATTATATCTCATCTCATTAAATTAATTTCATATTTATTATGACAACTAAAAACCCTAATTTCTCTTCTTCCTCACTCAAGCCGCATGCACGTAGGATGGGTCTTCTTCTTCTCTGACCGATTTTTTTCTTGTTCTTATTCTCTGATTGCTTCCAAACATTAGTTCATTGATTCGACTTCTTATTTGTGTTCTTCACCTTCTCAATTAATAAGTATTTTTGTATTTTTTTCTTTGATTTTTTCAGCATCAATTTTTTTTTTCTTTGATTTGCATGTATTTCTTTCTGTAATAGCCTATATCTGTGAGTGAGGATGAGATGAATGGTAGAGTTTGATGGAGTGAAATTATAATCTTTACTTGAAGAAATATGAGCAAAGACAAGTATTATGACTCTTTGTCCTTGTCTGTACTTGCAGCAAATTAGTTATAATGTTTACACCTTATTGATATGATGTTTGGAAAGATTTTTTTTTATTGCATTGGTTTTTGTAGGGGCATTCTTCACTTGTTTTTGTTTGATTTTTAGGATTCTTGTTTCTTGTATATTTTGAGTAAATCAATTGGTCTAAGAACAATGTAATAATGTTGAGGCCTCTCTTTATATAGCTCTTCCTAGACCCGATAGTTCTCTATTGCAACAAGGAAAACCAAATCTCTTGCTCCAGCTAGTCCCTCTGAGCCTCTGAGGTCTTTTTATAGAGATTCGAGAACCTAATATCTTGTTGATAATTCCAGTACTGAAACTCTATCCTCACTAGATCAAAAATCGCCCTCTATTTCTTCTTCCCATGCCACATTTTTAACTAACGAGCTTCTATTTTGTTTTTGCTTGCTGATTTTCAAGTATCAAAATGGTGGATTCAGTTTTAAACGCTCTATCCAAGAAAAGAAATAGAAAATCACATAAGAAAAATAGGGTTTGGCTCTTTTGCTTGTAAATTATGGTTCCATAAGATAAATGCAGCAACTGATATCAAGTCTTGCAATACCACAACTTTTTTACATACCTAACAAATTTCTTTAGTTGGATTGATGTACATTTCTAATAGATTTCTTTGGTTGGATTGATGTACAATTTTAATAAACGCATTATCCTGGGACAATTACACGTGATAATTCAAGTAGTTAGACAAGCTCACTGCAACTACTTTGGCAGTGAAATTGCTTGGCAGCTTGTGTATTAAATTATGTTTTTGCTCTTGGACTCCCTGATATTTTACTTGAAGGTGATCTAGCAAGCTAAACACATCTTTAGATTAGTAAGCCTTAGCTTCACCAAAATGAAGTGGAGGTTGGGATGCGCTTTTGTCAAAACTAATATCTTTTAACCAGAATTAAAAAAGTGCATCCTAAACTTTATAAAAACTAGTAAAAATTTTTATCATCCTATTTAGTCAAGTATGGATTTTCAAATGAATTTTACTTATATTGTCTTATTTTATTTTATATGGACTTTCGCGCAGAAAGAATGTATTGCCAAAAATCAGAATTGTTGGCAGAACAGTTTGCCAAAAACAAAGCAGAAATTTTTTTGATAATGCTAAAAAATGATTTCCCGTTTACCAAAAATAAAATTTATCGTTGCGTTCATTTTGTATCACTAACATGAAATTGTTAGTTAAATCCCAACATATCTATCCCCCTTTTTCTTTCTCTTTTCAACTTTGAGTTTCTCCACATCTCAAAAGAAGTAATTGATTTTGGTTCTTCCATATGCTATTACAGTAGGTATGTGACTATTTTTCTTTTCTTTTCAAATTTATCATTGTTTTATTTTGTTCAATTGAGATATAATTATTCTTTGAATCCTAACGTATCTATCTCCATTTTTCCCTTTCTTTTTTCCACTGGTTCTTGCATATGTTATTACTGCATGTACATATTCTTACATATGTTATTGTCTTTCTTATTTTTGTTGTGTCATTAAGATAAAATTATTTGTGAGCACTAACTTATTAATCTTTCTTTTTCTCTGTCTCATTTCCACTACAATATCATTAATTTCGAGTTTCTCCATGTCTTTAGAATAGTCTTTGATTTGGTTCTTTCATATGCTCTTGCCATATATTCGTGAATTCTTTTCTTTTCTTTTCTTTTTAAACTTATCAGTCTTTTTTTAATTTGTATTACTGAGATGAAATTGTTCATTGAATACTGATGTATCTATCTTCCTTTTTTCTTTTTTCTCTTCTCCACTCTGATGTCTTCAGCTTCGAGTCTTCACATACTTTAATAACAGTTTCTCATTTGGTTCTTTCTTATGCATCATTGAGATGGAATTGTTTCTTGAGTATCTGTCTCCCTTGCTCATATTTCTTCAAGTACTTATCTTTGAGCTTCGTTTCAAAGTTTCACAACCTAATTGGAATAATACATTTTAGACCCATCAAATTTGATGACATTTAGAATGTAGTGGTTAATTTCATTTTGAATTCTTGGTGAAATCATTTTTTTTATATATATTTTAATAGAATGATCATCCATGCTGGATGAAGTAAGTACAAAATTTCTGAATATATTTTACAAAAATGCTTGATTTGTTTCAATCTTAGCTTAAGCTTTTTCATGTTATACATACACCTTAGGAAGACCCAACACCTATTTATATAATTTCTTTGCGAATGTTTTTATTTTATCCGCTGGTGGGATCAGCATTGAACCTTCATAAACTCTTGGTTGAGAGTAGAAAAACTAAATCTCTAGTTCTATATCCATAGAAAAGCAATTAAATTTGAGGTAGGATTACTGTCCTCTTAAAATGTTGAGGGATCATATGGGTAGCAAATATCATAGTGCCTCTTATTATTTTTAATGTGGGCAGTTTATAATTGTTTACCAATGACCTTAATTTTTAAAACTTGTGCCAAAAATTAAGGTAGGCTTCTAAGTAGCTTATATAAATTTTATTTCTTTTTTTTCCTTGTTGAGGTTCAGTTAGTTAGTGGAGGGTATAACATTTCATCAAAATTTTGTATCAAGCATTGATTCTTTATTTAAAAAAAAAAATTGAGTTGATGTTTTAGGACTTTTAGATTAGCTATGTTAGTTAATTGTGAACTCTGTTTGCATACCATATTTGTTGATTTAATGTAGGAATCTATTTTAACTTGAGATAGAATGATGCTGACCTCATTGGGTTTGGATGATTGAGATTTGATGTTGTTTTTATAGAATTTTTATAATCATCACTTGTTGTTTTGTAGAATTACTTAGTTGTGAATTTGTAGAATTTGTTAGAGAATTTGTAGAATTTAGATGGAATGGTTAGATATGTTTGCTAATGCTTCTTATAAAAAAGAAAAAGAAATACGATGATCCGTTATAGGCAAATTACTTTCGTTTCTTGGAGGCAAATTACATTCATACTGCTCTCATATTTGGATTAACTAAAAGTAGATCACAACTTTTGAAGATGAAATATAATATATATTTTTAATCTATTCTCCTGTACACCCTCTAAGGCAAAATGCCTCCAAGACATCACAAAATTTTCCATAGAAAATGATATTTGTGACTGGAAGAAAGAATAAATGTTAAATGCTATTAGAGAACTTTGTTAACATAGAATGAAGTTAAATAAATATTACCAGAAATTTATTCCCCAAACAGGCAAAGTTGTGTGTTGATTAAAATGTATACTATGACTTGCTTTGATTTGAAATAATCAAACTCATTGTTTCTTTTTGTTTCAGACATTTGGTATCGTTTCTGTTCACACATTAGATAAGAAATATGGATATTTTGAAACGTGTAGTTATTTTTTTATGTCAGTTTATCATACTTCATGGGCTAGTAGTTCATAAAAGGTGCGATATAAATTTTAAGCTTACTCATGAACTACGACTAGAGGGACAGAAAACTCGAGATAACTTATGAAAAATTTATTATCAAGTGATTTTTGTCGTCATATAATTAGGATGAGAGCTTCGCCTTTTATGAATTTATGTCGTTTACTAGTTATAGATGGTGGACTTAGGCATACCGTTCGTGCAACTGCAGAATAACAAGTATTTAAAACACTTTACTTA